ATCAAGATCGAGACGGCAGAGAGGCTGATCAAGGCAGTCGAGCGTGGCTGGATGTGGCAATTTGAACCATGTGAGAATTGCGGACAGACGATGGTTCAGGTTTTGCGTCAGATCGTTTTTTTTTTTGTCGCAGCTTTTTGGGACAGCATAGCATGTCGATGCTCATTGCAGCAGGCGAGGCGCATTCCAGTTTGGGAGTGGTGGAGCGTCGGCATCAAGTTATTTGAAAGGCAGTGGAGCTTTATTGCGCAGGTGTTACCGACCGTGGCGCCAGGACGGCCATCGCGGAGGATTTGATTACGGAGGTTTGCGTTTGCGCACCTCATCCGGTCAATCGTTTGGCTTTCACAGAGGGCGATTCACCATGCCAGTGGTCTTTAGGAATGGATCCGACTACTTCACTTGCGACCCGATGCAAGATGAAGGAGGACGAGGACTTCAATAATGTATCTGAGCGAAGGCCACGATGGCGGCATGAGCGTTTATGAAGGCGGGCGCCTCGGCCAAACTACGACGAGCAATTCTACGGCGTCGCATTGCCCTCAAGCACGATCTGGCGATCGGCCAGCGGTGCCACAACTGGAGAGAGGGTATGGCCAACAAACTCATCAAGAACAAGTGGAATGGACCCGCAATCGTGGTCTTCAAAGAGATGAGGCAGGGCGAGAGCGGACCGAGGGTCTACTGGATCGTGCACAGCACGAGCCTACTACGGTGTGCCCCGGAACGCGCTCGACCAGATGTTAGCGACCAAGGATGTGTTCACCAGGGGAACCTCGCGCAGGCCAAAGGAGACGCTCGGCTACATGAGGAGGACCAGAGTCACGCAGTTCCACGATGCCAGCTCACAGCAGCAACCGTTCGATGCGCCAGGCGACTCGGACATGGACATCAGCGACGACGATGGACCCGGAGAAGAACCACCACCACAGCGACAGAGGGGAACACCGTCTATTGGAGCAGCAGCTTCGGCAACAACGGAGATGGCACCACCAGTGTCCCCCAGTCCAGGCATGCCCAGCACTGCAGAGGACGAGCCGACGGGCGTTCCCGGCACACCACAACCAGAAAGACAGCCAAGCGAAGGACAACCATATCATGAACCAATACCACCGACACCCCCACCTCAGACTATGGAATTACCACTACAGTCAACGACTCCACCAACCGCGCAAGCACAATCACCACCACCTCCAGTTCAGCGGCTACCGCCAACACCAGTGCTGGCTACGTTGGGACCAGCGGCGGCAGCCTGGTCGAGTTCACTGGCACGGGCCCCAACATCCGCAACGGCGAGTTTGGAGTTCAAGGAGAGTTGCAGGCAATTGGACGCTACAGAAGCTTCCATCTTTACCCGACCTGCAGGAGTATATCGAGGACCACCACTATCAGCATCAACGGCAGAGTCTCAACCAGTGGGAGACGACAGCGCAGACGACGAGCTCGCGGCCATGCAGTTCATGTTAGAGGACAAGGACTTACCATTCGGATGGGAGTTCGACGGCAACGAAGCGAAGCTCAATAGCATCTACGCCGAGATCAGCACCAGGACCATGACGCCACGCGAGCGAGCAGCGCTCATGGATGGCAAGCGGAAGGAGCTTGATGAGTTTTCGGAGAGGATGTTCGGGGGTTTCATAAGCCCACTGGAGACGAAGACCCCAAGCGCATCCTGAAGGCCTAGTGGGAATTGACATGGGCCAGGATCGATGACGGCGCGCCGATGGCAAAGGCGCGTCTCGCGCTACATGGCTTTAGCGACCCAGACGCACTCGACGGCAAGGTACCGACAGCATCACTTACAGCATCTCGACTTGGGACGTCAGTTGGCTATGTTACTGGCAGCTAACAACGGATGAAGATTGTGGACAGCGGGCGTGGCAAACGCACCCCTGCAAGGACGGCCGCAAGAACGAGTGCTGTGCGCCAAAGGACCACGAGATGCCGCTGACCTCATGGGCATTGAACCGGACGCGCTCATGAGGCATATCAAGCCGATGTATGGACAAGTGGACGCACGACGACGTTGGTGGCAACGAGCAGACGACGTCGTCAAGGCCAGCGGGCTCGAGCGGCACCCCCTGGACCCATGTCTCTTCGTTAGCTACGACAAAGACGGTTACTGTGACGGGTCAATCCCACCCTACGTAGACGACATGTTCGGAGGAGGAGATCGCAAGCCCAGCAGCAATTACAGCAACATCATCGAGGCAGCCAAGAGCAAGTTCAAGTTTCGGAAGTGGATCGAGAAGGACAACATGGAGCATTGTGGATCGGACCTACACCAGACCACTCACTGGGCAAACATGCGCTCCAACGGCACTGAGATCAACATTAAGATGCAGTCCTACGCCTCAAACCTCAAACCGATCACGGTTGATCAGAAGGACGGCAGCAACGACCGGCCGCTCACACCAAAGGAGATGCGCCAATTTCGAGGACTACATGGAGCTCTACAGTGGCCAAGTTCGCAAGCGTGCCCACATGCGTCAGCCTTGGTCAGCGTTCACCAAGGGCAGCTTCCAACGGCGACGGCGGTGACAGGAAGAGAGGTAAATGAGACGCTAAGGTTTTACAGACAGAACGCGGACGTTGGTCTCAAGATGAAAAAGATTGGCAAGGTCAGCGACATCGTGCTCGTAGCGATGACGGACGCAGCTTGGGGCGTGCGACACAACGGAGCTGGTCAAGGATGCGTGATTATGGCATGTCACTCTCAAGTATGTGACGGCGAGGGTTCAGATTTATGCGCTGTTGATTGGGAATCTTTCAGGTTGACGAGACTAGCTACGTCATCGCTACACGCAGAATCCCAAGCAGCGGCAGCAGGCATGGACGCGCTGCAATTTGCGAAGCGATTCTGGGCAGCTCTCATCTACGACAACGTGAACGCCAACACAGACGAGAGCACGCACGACGCAGGGGAGTCAGCACTCGTGATTGATGCGAACGCACTCTACGACTCAGCTAAGATGGAGAGCATCACCAGCTTCCAGGACAAGCCCACGGGCATCGAGGCATTGGCGCTGCGAGAGCGGATGGATCGTACACAGACGCAATGAAAGTTGGTCTCATCAACGCGTCAGTGCGCGGATGGTCTCGCGAAGTTAGCGGCAAGACAACCTTTCGCAGGCAGACTTCGAGCTGGGCGACTTCAGCTACAACGCGATCCTACCTACACGGCAGCCAAGAAGAATACCAGCGAGGAGCGACAGGATGTCATCAAGAAGAGTAGGATGGAGACGTCATCAGCTACTACGGCGAGATCACCACTCATGCAAGTTGCGGTCTTCGCGACGTGCTGCTGCAAGTCAGTGGCAACCTATGCTCCAGAGCCCGACGACCACGCACTGTACAAGTGCTACTCTGATGAGTTTGCGAAGCGTTCGTTGTTTTTTGGAGGCATCTGGGACGCACCAATGTTCACTATGCTTGGAAGTGGCAGTCCCAGCTGTCTGTTATATATTGCGGGGAGTACGGAGCATCGAGGCGACTCCAGTGTGAAGTACCAGACTGGGACCAGCAACAAGCATGAGACGACCGAGGAGACAGCGACGACCAGCATCGACAAGGAGGCAACCATCCACCTCAAGATGACGAGCGGCAGCCACAAGCAGGTGCGACGGCGGACGGTTAGCGCACAGAGTATGGTCACCCACTGGTTGCAGGGCGATCAGTGGCGATTCAGTCATAAGATGAATGGATTCAAGCGAGCAGGCGAAGTTTCAGTAGAGACGACCGAACCCAATCAGTGGCAGGACGGCTACGATTGGACAGCAGGCGACAGCCCCAATGGCTGCGGTGAGTGAGCCAATGCACCAGCGCAGTTTCAGCATCTGTTTTGTATTCTCAGTTGTTTACTGCTAGATGAGCATTCCATATTCAGTTTGCAGACGCAGTTTTGCATTTCATATCTACGCAGTTGTGCATTTCAGATGCATCTTGCAGGCGCAAGTTGCATTTCATATTATGCCAGCGTTTATGCCCGTTTGTTTGTGCCGTCTTCGGCAGCTTGTGCAGCATTAACTTGTGGAGTCTCGAGTTTCATATTTTTATTGATGGGAGGGCTTATCTCCTTTTGTTCTGTTTAAAAAAAATCTTTCACGGGTGTGAAATATACGCTGTGCCTATGGTGCATTGGGCAGATAGTGCAGAGCAAGGCTGTAGCATAGCGAGCGTACCATTGCACTTCGGCCCAAACCTTCCGAGGGCCCTTGAGTCAGCGCAGCAGCGGTGTGGAACACATATCAGATATTCTTCTGGTTCTTCATTCTCATTGCCATCAAAGACGTCGGGGGCTTTGATTTGTTCATAAGATGGACCCGGTGTCCGGCAATGTGGAACACGCACGACGTCGGACAATTAACATATCCACGACCGAGGATTTTGGACGTCATCGTGGTCGTGGCCGTCGTTGTGTTCGTCGTCGTGGTTGCGGTCGTCGTGATCATCGTGGTTGTCGTCTTGGTCGTTGCGTTCGTCGTCGCCGTCGTCTTCCTCGCCATTGCCGTCGTCGCTGTCGACGGCGGTGGCCGGTTTTGTTGTCGTCGTGCAGGCCAAGGATCTGCGGGCGGAGCTCCGCAGGAGCAACGCGATGTTCCTGAGAGCGCTCGTAGACGATCCCCGCGGTGGGCCAGATCTTCGAGGCCGTCCGCCTCAACCTCACCTCTTTCGCATTTTGCCCATCCTCGTCCTCCCTTCTCGTCCTATCTTATTCAACCTTCTCGCTTCCCCTTGCTCCCATGCTGCTGTAATTGCATGCGCCTGGAGTTCAAGGAACGTGCCACCGTTGATTGGGGCCCTTTTGGAAGCTCATGCCAACGGGCACAAAACACCTCTTCCCAGTTTAATGGGGACTTCTGAAAGCCGCTACAGGCCACTACATGCTGCGAAGGCCGTTGAAGGCCTTTCGAGGCTGTGAAAAAGGCGAGCAAATGCAACCAAAGGCCGCACATCATACGCGACACGCATATGAAAACCATCCAAAGCTACTGAACCGAGGCGTTACCTTTTGGAATGGGCTTCCGGAAAAGGCTCACCTAACCACCGTTGCCCTTGAGCTTCACGATGCGAGCGTCCGGACGGTGATGCCAACCCGTGGCAGCGCGCACCCGGGGTCCCAGCGCGCCGCCTTCGCGCGCCTCGCTGCTTGGGCGTGACTGCTTCCTCGCCGCACCGCTGCTCCTCGTCCCCTGCTCGTTTCGGCGGCGGGCGCGGGGGGGAGGTGAGAACGAGAAAGCCTTTTCACAGGACGGCGGGGCCTCTCCGAATTCCTCTGGCCTCCCGATCGGTTCTCTGCGTCTGCAGGAAAGGCTATTCGCGGACACCACCGAAGGTCCGGGATGCCGTCCGAGCCTTTGAGACTGCCCGCCCCGTCGGGCTTCCCCGCTGGGCTCGCCGCCGACCCTTCTTCGGTGTTGGTCAGGCGACGGTCCTCGTGGTGCAGGGCCGAAAAACCGAAGCTGCTCTGCGCATGCTGGCTCCTGTTTCGAAGAAGAGCACAGCAGAACACATAACCTTCTGGCGCTCCGAGGGGATTTCTTGGTTCCGCGCTGGGCCCCCCCCGGCTCCGGCGCCGCCCCTGGCGCGCTCCGCGCGCCAGGGAGGGGTGTCCATCGCGGATCCAAGACACCCGCATGTTTATGGCGTTTGTTTCATGCTCACTCCTGCTGCTGCTGGTGCTGATCCTCCTCCTCTTCCGCAATCAGCACCCATGCACCGCCGCCATGCCTGATCAGCAGTGGCCGTCTTGAGCCCCGTGCCCTGGCCCAGTGCTCAGGGTGGCCCTTGCCAGGCACGGTGGCGGTGTAGAAGTGCCTTCTGCGTAAGATGTGCGCATGATTATACATTGCGGACGTCCCGAGACCGTTTGAACCTTTGCGGGCAGCTTTTGGGGCATAAGAGTCGTGGTCGTCGTCCTCGTCGTCGTCGTCGTCGTCGTCGTTCTCGTCATCGTCGTCGTCGAGAACTTCAGGGCCAGCGCATGGAAAGAGCACGATGGACGCTGGCGGTCTGGGCGCGTGGCCCTTCGTACTCTGCAGACGTGCTCGGGCGGTTCCACATCCCTCCCTCCCTGTCCCAGGGATGTGGGGGAAGGGGACCTGGCGCGAGCGGAGCAGCCGTCCTGGGACGATCGCATGTCATGTACTTTCGTAGTGGCTTCTGCCGCCCTCCTAGAAGAGTTCGGCGCGGGCACGGTGAGCGCCTCCACGCAGGGGCTGGGCCACGATTGGGTGTCGAAGCAGGGCAGCATGTCCGTAGTGGAGTGCGAAGACCAGATCGTATCGCAGATCCTGGCCCCTCCTGCATTCAGCACGGACGTGTACATGAGCGAAATGAGCGGACAGAGCATCTCTGTCCGTGACAGCGTCGTGGACGGCATCAATGACAGTTGGGACAGGGAGGAACGCGTGCTCCACCAGCTCCGCCGGCAGGTCGGAACGAAGCTCTCGTCGAAGAGTCGGTCCGATATCTTGGAGTCGAGGAGGTTGGCAAAGCCTCCCAGGGTGTTCTTCTGGCTGCGATGGCTGATGAGCAAGCCGCAGTACGAGCTGGGATGGGCGGTCCTCATCGTCAGCAACCTTGTCTGTATGATCCTGGAGGAGGAGTACAGGGGCATGCGTCGCGGCTACGAGCTTGGCGACATATACGTGAATTATGGTTCGCCTGAGTACTCCAACACGTGGTGGCCTGGAGCCGACACTGCGTTTTACCTTATGGAATGTCTCTTCGCCGGGTTTTTCACTCTGGAGCAGGTCAGGGCTAGACCTAAGCGCTGTTTTGCTGGACTTCGGCTGTTTTTTGTGTTTCCTTTTGGGAGGGAGGTACAGGAGAACAGGCAGTTCAGAACGAAGAACAAAACGAACGCACAACGAAAAACAACGTTTAGGTCTAGCTCTGGAACAGGTCATCACGATATCGTACGACGTGGCGTGTGCGCTCGCGGATTGGCCCACCCACCGGACTCCCTTCTGGAGAGACCCGCTGGACTTCTTGGATATGTTGATCGTAATATGCTCCGACGTGTCGCTGTGTCTCGGCATGGTGGACGCGACGATCAACATACAGCTCTTCCGGATTTTGCGTCTAGCCAGGCTCCTCAGGTTGCTTCGGCTGTTGAGGAAGATTAACCAGTTCGACCCGTTGCACCTCATGGCGACCGCCATCAAGGGAAGCATGGGCGCTCTGATGTTCTCCAGCATCCTCTTAATCACGGTGCTTACACTGTTCGCGATGGTGCTCACGAACGCACTAAGGGCCGCATACTTGGGAGACAATTCCCCCCTACAGCTCGAGAAACAGCGAGAGCTCTTCAGGTATTTCGGCACTTACTCTCGGTCGATGCTCTCCATGTTCGAACTCGCCCTCGCAAATTGGCCAACGGTCACTCGGTTCATGGTCGAGGAGCTGAACGAGTTCTTCGGACCCGTCTGCATCCTATGGAAGTTGTCGGTCGGTTTTGCCGTGGTCGGCGTGATCAACGGCGTATTCATTAGGGAGACGTTCTCCGTGGCAGAGAACGACGAGTTCATAATGTACAGAAGCAGAATGCGGCAGGTTGAGCCGCCACACGAATCCATATATGTATGTATAGTTATACATATGCATACATACATACATACATACATACATACATACATACATACATACATACAAACACATACATACATACATACATACATACATACATACATACATACAGGCATACATACATACATACACATACATACATGCATGCATGCATACATGCATGCATACATACATACATACATACACATCGTTGACGCTTCGCGAATTCCCACCCGCCTATCTAGAAACGATGCCCAGAGGAATTGCGTCGATCAGGGAAGTGGGCAGCACACAGAGGAAGCCATTATGAGACATCTTGGGATATCTAGAGCCATCTTGGAGGTCATTTTGGGCTCCCCCAGACGCTCTTGATCTTAATCAATACCCTGGGGGCCTCCTGGGGGCCTCTTGGGGGCCTTTTGGGGCCATCTTGGGGCCATTTTGGGACCTCTCGGGGCCTCCTGGGCGCTTCTTGGGGCCACTTTGAAGGAGATTGATCACAGGAGGGGGGGGTACCAATTAGCGCCCCCCCCCGGGAGGCCAAAATGGGGCCAAAACCGAAGAAAGATAAATGATTTTGGCTTCCGCGCCGAGGCCGTGTTGGCATTCTCGCCGAGGCCTCTTGGAGCATCTTGGGTGCCTCTGGGGGGTCTCTTGGGGCCTCTTGGGGGTCTCTTGGGGGCCTCCTGGGGGCCTCTTGGGGGCCTCTTGGGGCCATTTTGGGGCCATCTTGGGACCTCCTGGGGCCTCCTGGGCGCTTCTTGGGGCCATCTTGGAGGAGATCGATCACAGGAGGGGGGGGCTCTAAAGTGAGCTGGGCGTTGCATGTGAGTGGGAACGAGCGTGCATCCGCGGCCGCTTGGTTCAAAGCGGCCGGCCGCCCAGATCTGACTACACCTCAGCGCGAGGTATACTATTTGCCATCGATACCAAAATGCTGCTTGAGGTGGCTCGCCCCCTACTAGTGGGATTATCGCTGCTACGGTACAACAGAGCGGGAGCTGGGTTTCGCCTAAGGCGAAGCTGTTGGTTGGGCCTCCCAACCCCTTGCCGACTTGGTAGCGGAGCTGGGCTATGGTGGTCAACTCTTGCTCTACCCCTCACCATCCACGGCACTATCTGGTGGATTACAGACGTGGTGGAACATCATGGTTCAGTGGGTTTGCGCGGAGGATGTATATAACTACGCAGTAAAGCAAGGACATTTGCAGTGACACCTCTGCTTACGCGGAGGCCTCTTTCTTTCGTCCTACATCCCTTCGTTATTACACTCCTGAAGTCCACCACCTACTCCAATTGGGAACTTCGAAGACATGATGAATTGAAACATGCGATACGATACTGTGCCGCTTTCACCCCCACGCAGATTTACGACTACACATCGAAAGCCCCAACCGGCTACATCCGACCACGACCTGCGAGGCCATTGGACTTGTATTATTATATTTGGGCTCACATGGGTCGCTATCGGGTGTGAGGTAGGACATATGCGTGGCGGAGACGACGCAAGAACGACCGGCCCTCATTGGGGTCCAGCTGGTCAGGTACCTTCTCGCGAATTCGTCCGCGAGGTACATGCCTGGATCAACGTGACCACAGGCAACATGACGCCCCCCCAACAAGCTGCAGCCCTGCAGTGAGGCTTGGGAGGCTTCGCGCGGACCATAGCCATGAGACCCCCCCCAGCAGTCATCAACTTTGGCGTTAACATAGGTGGCCGCCATACCGGCGGCGCCACCTACATCATGTTCCTCTCAAAAACGAAGTTCGAGAATTTAGAAGAGGAGCGCCAACTCAACTCTTGCACAGCTCCAAGTGGCTTCCGAGTTCATGTGGGAGAACGAATCGACCAGACGTTGGCGCGCTTCGAAATAGCCCGCGACGAAGCTGAAACGGCAGGCTTTAACATCCCCACCTTCCGAATCTTAGCAGTTGCATTATCCAGTGCTCTTGGAGCGGGAACATCGCGTGCACCGCAACTCTTGCAGCCACTGAACCGCCACATACCGAGAGACCAGCAACGGTTTGACGCTCTACTCGAACGCATGAGGTCATATGCGCACATTGCTGAGAGACCCCTGGCAATATTGATGGCATTTTCAGTCGCGGTCACCGACCGAGACCGTCCACTTGGAGGCAAACAGAGGGCAATTTGCTAATAATGTTTCGAATGGCGATTCACAACCAGATGGGACCACTGCACTACTGGCTCAGAATGGTGGATCGGCCTCGGGGTCGCAAGACTCCTGGGCCAGGTTTCGGGGGCCGCCCGAAGCGGCGCCCCCTGCGCAAGCCGCGGCCCTACTGGGCTCAGCGGGGCAACCTGCCGAGTCCGACTTCGACTCCGGCACTGACGCCGATGCGTCTTCGGACGACGAGGCCGCGGCCCTGGACTACTCCGATATGCCTACATACCTCACGGAAGAGCAACAGGCGCCATGGTTATTCTTTGGATACCAGAAACAGAAACGCAGGTGGGGGCGTTTTATGAAGAAGCCAGTCCGCAAGGCACGGCGCATCGCCCGACGAGCACCCAAGGGGAAAGGCAAGGGTCGAGGCAAGGGTAAGGGTAAGCGTCGGCGATGGCACGGCAGAGGCATATCAGCTTCAATAGGATCCCTTACCAGGCCGCAATCTGGAGAGAGATTCTTAGGCGCAGGCAGGAATCGCACGCATACATCAGGAAAAAGTATGGCCGTCGGGGAAACCCGAAGGATGCCAATGGCAAAACTATAGAGTGCGACATATGCCATAGCACGCAGCACTTTCGCCGCGAATGCCTTCAGGGCGATGGGAGAGGCAGAGGTCCGCCGATACATCTGGCTCAAACTGATTCGGATATACAGTATGTTGACTGGGGGTCACTTTCAGCCGACCCTGCCGATAGCTCAGTTGCAGTTGTTCACTTCGTGGCTGCCAGATATTTGAGCGCCAGCATGTCTCTCGAGAATTGCGCCGACGAGCTGTTCGAGGAGGCATTCACTGGCCACAATGATATCGATCCGGCAGACTGGCTAGGCATGCCCATCGCGGGGCAACCTGCAGATATTGAATTTGTCGAGAACTTTCACGTGCCCGCCGAAGGAGATGACGGAATGGCGGGGGCACCCGCGGATTCGGAAGCCACTATTCCTGCGATAGAAGAGGACATGCAGTTGATGCTTCATCCTCGGGTTATTTGACATCCGACAAACATGGAATTGAGTGCTGATCCTTTGCGGGGTAGCCCGCGAGACGTCAGCGATCTGTCTGAGCGCAATCAGTATGAGATTGGCCACAACGAAGGATTTCAATGCACATTTGCAGCTTCGGACCGCTCCACGAGCCGCCAGGGGCGATCGGCAAGCCGCCAGTTCTGGAGACGCAAGTATCGCGCCGACGACGATGACGAAGACTGGGAAGATGACGCTCGTCTGGCACGTCGAGGTCGGATCCCCAGTCGCTCACCCAACCGTGCGCGCGCGCTCCAGCGGAGCGAGCTCGCCCTTGCGGCCTTCAGCGCCCTCGCCCTCCTGGTGCGGGAAATCCAAAGACCCCTCCATGGCAGGCCAATAGACTCGACGCTCCCCCGAGGAGGGGGCGTCCGGGGGGGCGCCCGCCTCATGGGGGTCAACTTCGAGCAGAATATCCAGAGGGCGAATTACAGCGCCTTGTCGGCTACTCGGAGGCCAGATTATTCGCCGGCATTCCCTTCGCAAGGTTGAACGACACGAAACGGGCAAGATCAGTCGCTCAAGAAGGACAGGACCGCCCAAAACACATGAAAACTCATCAGACGCGACCTCAATGGGGCGATCGTCGAGGATCGGAAACTTTGCAGAGGCGTTGCTTGCACGTGCCCCGAGTATGCCGACCACAGGCTTGGCTGCCCCGTGAGACGCCCATCAAGAAGCCCGAACTCTCGCAAGACACCGTGGGTTTGGTCTCATGGCGATGGTCGGGGTGACTGCGCCGACCCTAATGCAACGCCGTGGAATGAGCAGTTGGCGGAGAACTACTACGAGCCAGCCGCAGCCGACGACATATCCCTGTATACTAAGATATGGAAGCACTTCTCACCTCTTCATCATTTCAAGGTATTCAATCGTGAGTGGAACGCGGGGAAACCTGCTTCGCCCAAATCAGGAGACGACGGCCGACAAGAAGCCGATGAAGTTGAAGAGGTGGCTGAAGAGGTAGACCCCACGGAAGCAGCTTCCGCAGGGTACGCCTCGGACTTCTCCGACACCCTCACCACTGGCGCGGACATCGCGTGCGGCACGGACACCCGTATCGATCTTAGGTACGTCGTTGCAGAAGAAGTGGATCTTTCTCTACAAAGACGGGTTGTCTTCCGTGCTGGGTCTGTAGGCTGGGTAAAGTCCAGAATGAAACGGAGGCTTAGCTTTGCCAGATATCATCTGACCGCGAAGAAAAAAGGCCACGATCGGTCATGCGGCACTCAGAAGCCTGACGGTATAGACCTGAGCCCTGGCAGTGGGCCCGTGCGACATGGGCCATGGATACCTGCATGGGGCAACGGCTAAGGCAGCTCCCAAGCCGAAGACAGATCCGCTGATTGATAGTTATCCATCTTCGGTCTCGCCAAGTCCGTCGTAGTCACTCGGGCCTGATCAGCTCAGACCACCGCCCAAACAGAATAAGAGGAAGAGCCCAGATGACCCTAACCCTGGAGATAGCAACAACGACCTGCGGGGCAACCTGCTGGTCGACGTCGATTCAGAGGACCAGCAGTGGCCGCCGCAGCAGCTGCATTTCAAGGCACCAGCACTCCTACTCCGAAGGACCCTGTACCACGTCGCGGTCCTACGCCTGGCCGGACACGCAGGACTGGCTGGATCCCGACGCTGGAGGGATCATTCAGGGATGCTTTTTCAACGCGGCGTGGTACCGATAAGAGACCATTGGAAACTACAACAAGGGCATCAGGGGCAGCTCCCAAAGATAAGACATACGAGTACTACAATATCAATGAGAAGAAATGCCAG